GTGTGTCAAAGATTCCAGGATTAAGAATCACTGTGAGGCTGGTTTTCTACTTACTACATAGTCTTGCTCATGTAAATATTATAAAGCTTGGCTTGTCCTCTTTGTTAAGTATGTACTTCTGACTCTTTCCTTTTTCTTTTTTTCTTTTTTGCCAGTCCTGGGGCTTTGAACTCGGGTCCTAGGCACTGTCCCTAAGCTTCTTTTGCTCAAGGATAGTCCTATACCACTTGAGCCACAGCGCCACTTCTGGCTTTTTCTGTTTATGTGGTCCTGAGGAATCAAAATCAGGGCATCCTGCAAGCCAGGCAAGCACTCCACTACTAAGTAACATTTCCAGCCCATACTTCTGAATTTTATTCATTAGAGTTCTAGATTTGTTTTCCAAAGAATTCTAGTGTGTACTGCCCCTTATAAAACAATTAGCAGTTGAAGAAAAAGCAGCTGAATGGAGATCATCCAATTGTCCTGAATTCCTTGAAATGTTCCAGGGAGATTGAAATTGACAGACCAAAAGACTAAATGTAAATATCATTGTCTACTATGACTCATTCCATGGTTATATATAAACACACACACACACACACACACACACAGAGAAATATATTGAGTGTTTTTCAGGGAATGTGAAGAACTAAGTGACTTCCCATTATGAAGGAGAAAATGAGACAAGTTCCATGCATGATGGATAGACCAGCAGTATAATGCGGGTGTATGGGAAGAAAGGCTACCTTGGAGCCAATGGCATCTGAAGTGGACCTTGAAGGATAGGTGAAGTAGAATGGGTGGGATGAATTATCAAGCAGAGGAGATGTAGGAACAAACATTTGCCATTGTTTACTTGGAGATACTTGTACTGCTTTCCAATGATAGCAAACCTATCTAAATCAGAATATTATCATGTCTTTTAACATTTGGGGCCAACAATTACTTATAGATGGGTGAGTCCTGTGTGTTGTCCAAGAATGAGCAGCAACTCTTGGGTCCACCCTTTACTAGATATTATCGGGGCACCAAATTCCTCCCCCAGCCCTTGAAGCTTCTCCAAATACTGCCAAGTATCACTTGGGGGGAAAATTTCTCCACCCGCACTGAGAACAGTTGATCTAGATTTAATTTTAGTTTCTAATCTCTATTACTTTCTGAGACCAATATGAAACTGAAAGCTAAATCAAGCATATCTGTGGGTTGACAAAGCTATAGAACCTTTTTTCAGAAACTTGTTTCTTTAAGTACTGTCTAGATTTAATGAGCAGAAACCCTGAAAGTCACCTGTGGTGACTCAGCCAGTCAAGAATACTTCTATTCTGGAGATCTGGGAATTATGTACAACATCTCTGATGATTGTAAATGGTATCAATTACCTTCACATGTTTTTCATTACACTTCAAGAGCTTTCACAGATATTTTTTCTTTAAATTTCAAATGGTAGTATATACTTCATTTAAGATATCCCATGTTTACTCTCCAGAGAAAAATACTGGCAATGTCCCTGGGTATTTTATACATACATTTATATACCTTTAAGAGAAAAAAAATAATTGGAAATAAAATCTTTTAGTGTCTATATATCTACACTTAACATTTATGGGGAAGAAGAAAGGCCCAAAAATTTAACATTTGCTTCTAAATACATAGACATGAGGAGTTAAGAAAAAGCACTAATAAAAAATGTATGAAAAGTAAAATCAGTTTTCATTTCTACTGCTCAGGCTTGATGGCAATCATACGTATTCTTGGATCTTGTCAAATTCTGGCTCTCCTAGAATACCACTAAAATAGCCTCTTGATAAGGCAGAATTTAACTGAAAACTCACTAACCCAGGATGATTTTATGGAAGTAAGAGTGATTGTCTTTCTACCAGAGTCTTGTCTCAGAAGATGGAGGGCAATGGCAGTATATTTATATTTGGGAAGTTCTGGCTAGGTTTCCCAACAGTGGCTAAGTGTGTGTCTCAGTCTGGTTTGTGTTGCTACAACAAAATGCTTGATGCTAAATATTTTTGAATAAATTTGGTTCTCCATATACATTCTGTTATCTGCTTGGTTTTTTCATTATCTGTGGAAGTTCTAGCAGGCCCTCAACCACTACAGTTTCCCCAGATGGATTGAAGTTTTTTTTGTACTCCTCCAATAAACTAAGATTTCCATTGCATTTTACCTCATAGATTGCAATTCTATTTTATTTGTCTTCCCAACAAGATGGGAAAACCTTAAAACCAAAGACCATATTATCATTTTAAAAGTTCTCAGCCAGCGCAATGACTTCTACCTTTTTTCTTTCCTTGCTGACTAGAGAGAAATAGTCTCACCAGCTTTTATGTCCAGGCTATCATTGAACGTTGATCCTCCTATCTCAGCTCTCTGAGTAGTTAAAAAAAAAATCCAATTCAGATGATGTAACAGGCTAGCGAGGATATTTATGTAACCCTTACTGTTTTTATAGTGGCTTTGTTTACCTTTTTTCTTTTAACTTTGTGATTTCTCTGGACTGCACCGGACCTCTGTCTGACCTACCTCAAGGATTAGGAACACAGCCTACCAGTCTCAGAGCTGCCACTCAGCACTGTGCCCCGTTCCTAGCTGGGTTGGCATGAGTGAACATGCCGCAGGGAAAACAAGAGAGGGAACTAAAATAAGCTCACTCAGTTTCATCCTGCCAGAAACTATCTGGGAGAATAATTCAGCATCCATCAAATGTGAAAATGTCAAAATGAGGAGGAAAAGAAAAGTCTTTGCTACTTTTAAGGGAAAGCCACATTCTACAAATTAGAAAAGAGCGTTGGCAACATTCAGAAAATTGATAATAGGGCATATGGCTTGGAGATTCAGGGTCATCGTGAGGTGAGTGGTCAGAACAAACAGGGTCCAGAGCCGTTTACTTAAGCAAGGGAAGGTCTTTTTATCTACAAGTGGTTCACATCTGGAAGATATTGATCCAGAATTGCATGGAAGGGAGCGTGCAGAATCCCAGCCTATGGGTCACTTGTGAGTCTGATTGAGGGTCTTTTCCTATCTTGGTTCTTAGATTAATGGCCTACCTCCTCCTCATGCCCATCCCCTTTTGCCTGCTCAAGACCATTGTTGTACAAATGACTTTTTTCTTGTACGATCAACCTTTCCTTTTCCTTGGACTATTCCCATCAACACTTTTGATTTCTCCTTGTCTCACCAATGCTGTCTCAACTTTCCTTTCTCCCTATAACTCATGCCATTTCACCTCTCTATTGTAACTAAACTCTTTGTTCATTAAAATTTTTATTATCTGGGGGGGAGGGGGGAGGCTGGGAAGGGATGTGAAGGGTAAACCAAAGGAGGAGGCTGCAATGCTTGGTAAGAAATGTACGCATTATCCTGCCCATGTAATTGTAACCCCTCTGTACAGTATGTTCACAAATAAAAA